AACCGACTGTTTTTGTAACTTGTGTGATTTTAACGTAAACTTGTGTGTGAATGAGAACTTAGTTTAGTACTCACATGCTGTGACAGCCACTTTCTGTCCGTGTGCTTCGGTTGCGTTCACTCAGAAAACCATATCAGAAGTTTAAACTAATGGTTTAAAACGCATGATTTCAGCACAATAAACATTATAATCAGAACCAAAACAGATGTTTTTTTAGCAGGTAAGAAACTCTGTTCTGGAAAAGGGGGCGGGGAGCGGCAGCTCATTTGCATTTAAAGAGACAGGCTCGAAAAACAGTGTGTTTCTGCTTCCACTCAAAATAGGCATTTTCAAAATGATATAATAATGGATCTGTAGGGTATTTTGAGCTAAAACTTCACAGACACATTCTGGGGACACAAGAGACTTATATTACATATTGTAAAAAGGGGCATAATATGTCTCCTTTAAAATTTTGTAATTTAAAACAGCAGAAATATAAAATATGTTAAGTTATATATCAAAATACTATCAAGAAACAAAATCTGGTTAATAATCTGCAATAGAATAGAAGTGACTTAACTCATTGTTTAATAAAAGTGCAAAACGTTTTTTGAAAATATTGTTTCCACATACTCTACTACAGTGGTTCCCAACCCTGGTCCTGGAGGCACCCCAACACTGCACATTTTGCATGTCTCCATTCTCTGACACACCAGTTTCAGGTCTTGGAGTCTCTACTAATGAGCTGATGACCTGAATCAGGTGTGTTTGATTAAGGAGACATGCAAAATATGCAGTGTTGGGGTGCCTCCAGGACCAGGGTTGGGAACCACTGCTCTACTACAATATAGATCTTTGATTTTGGTGAGAATCCAAGGCACTATTTGGTACACTTAAGTATTTATATGCTTAAGTTCCTGCTAGAGCTTACTTTGGTCATCATTTGGCCCATCGCACCTCATTTTGTTATTTTATATAAACTTAACATGATGTTAATGAAGTGGATGAACAAAATAAACAATGATGCACCATGCAAATGCAGTGAGTCTATAGTGTACAGAACATGATGTTTGAAGAAAAAGTCAATCATGAATCTCGGTGATCTTGTCAATAGATGTCAATAACTGGGAAACAAAACAGAGTGTCTCTCTTCCTGACAGCAACTGCCTGTAAAAATACAAAACACATTCAGTGCAATGATATATTAGATAATTTATTTACATTTCTGATCATTATTAAATGATTGTAGAAAAGCACAATAAAATGTAATGGTCATTGTTAATAATACTTGATAGAAGTCTCTGCATCTTGAGCTGCTTTGTTAAGGTACTCAGAGGCCACTTGTGCATTGTGTCTCATTGTAGTTAAGGCTGTAGTTTCTCCATATCTTAGCCTCTCATTTTCACTTTTATATCCTTCAAGCTGGCCCTGGGACGAAAACATTAAAAATAATTGCAATAATGGAGTTTTAATCTGAACAATAACAGACGTGAAAAAATATTTTGATCACAAATTCACAAACTTGTAATACAGTAGTATATAGCTGGATTACATTATATATGTACCATTATACATAGTATGCTTTTTTCAGTGTGCTTGTGGAAATGAAAAGAAGTCAAACCTGGAGTTGTTGTATCTCTTGTTTCAATTTTGAAATACTATTTTCAGCTTTGACTGCTCGCTTCTGTATTGGATAAAACAGAATTTTTTAAAGCATTTTAAGATGAAGATTTACACTCAAATTAATTTAATAAACCTTAATAAAAAAACTGTCATATGAATGATAACACAGTGCTTAATACCGTCATTAACTGAAGGTTTTGTTCTACTGACTGCACCATTGTCTCCAAAGCCTTAGCCTCTCTCTCCTCCTGTAACTTCTTGTTGTGCAACTCATCTGTCAGTTGTTTGATCCTATTACAGTTGGATAGTTTAACAATGAGAAATCTTCTAGAAACTTTAAAAAAAAAGCACAGCAGCAATTCATCTAAATTTCAGTCCATTAAATGAATAAGGCAAAAAGGAAAATTTGCTGAACATTTACCCTAAGGCCATACAATATCTAGATGAGTTTGTTTCTTCATGGACTGGAGTCGTGTGAATTATTGTGATGTTTTTATCATCTGTTTGGACTCTCATTCTAACGGCACCCATTCACTTGCAGAGGATCCATTGGTGAGCAAGTGATGTAATGCTAAATTTCTCCAAATCTGTTCCGATGAAGAAACAAACTCATCTACATATTGGATGAGCTGAGAGTGAGTGAATTTTCACTTTTGGGTAAGCTAGCTAATCTTTAATTACCTCAAAAGAATTACAATTAATTTGTTATTTTACATTTAGTAATGTATATAATATTACAATTAGTGTAAATAGCTTACCTTTTGGAGTCAGATTCTGACCTTCTAAGGAGTTCTTTGACTTGCTTTCTGAGTAGAGAATTCTCTTCTCTAAGCTAAAACACATAAAACATAAAAAACACCTTTTTGAAAAGCAGCATTGCACCAATTATAATATAACAATTGACTCATGTATATGCAAAACCTCACACCATTCACAATTCACACAACATACCTGTTGGGGATTCTTTGTGCCATTTTCAGCATTACCCCTCTTCGGATGGAAGGAAACATCAATCACTGAAGTCTCTTCATCACCTTCATAGCTTCCTGTGCTTCTTCTAGCTAAGTTGTTCTTTGGAAGGAAGTCAGAATCACCCAGTTCCCATTCAGTTACATTTGCTTCCCTCTCATCACTGCACAGAGATGATTGCTCAGAGTAAGCACCGAGGTCTAAAGTACCACATAGTTCAAAGTCATGAGAACCATCAAGGGCTGATGGGTGGCAGCTTTCAATCCATGTTTCCTCAGGTTCGTCTTCAGAAGGCTGACAGAGCGCAGACGGGTCTGCGAAGAACGGCCCCTTTGTGGCAAAATCTATGGAGGTGTTATAGTCCTGTTCGACATGGAATGCTCCACCACACACCTTCGGAAAATCAAACATATATGAAATATATATGAAAAAACAAGACAAATACAAAAAACAAATACAAGACGAGCCAAGAATCTACCAGCAATGAAAATCTGCATAAACTTTACTGGCAAGTTTTACATTCATATATGTAAATACACAAACGTGAACCCTACTTTCATGTCTTTAAAGGGACATTAAAGTAAGGACATCAGTCAAAAAAGTCATGAAATCTACTAAACCTTAAAATCTTTGTCATGTTGTTTCTCACCTCTGTGGCGTCTGTAGTACAAGACTGCTGGCTCTTGTTTCTGACGAACTCCTTGAAAGAAAATGGATTCAGCTCATCTTGCTTTGGCTCATCTGAAAGTAAATTTGTACAAGACATTAAAAATGAAGATTTCACGCCCAGAATGTTTTATATATAAACCTATAATACATATTCAAGACAGACAGCTAGTGCTGCATTATAATCATGATGCATTATAGAAAGAGCAAAAGACAAGTAGGTTGACACATACCATCTTCAATGATGAGCTTTTTCGTCCTGTGTTTAGACATGTTAACTTACAGATTCAGCTTGAACAGAGACGTAAACTATCCTGCAGACAGTTATTGCTAAATACCTGAGCTCAACATTACACGGTGTGTAGGAGAGGAAAAGAGATGAAGTACTGCAGAAAGTAAAATGTATTCCCAGTAAATGTTTCGCTTAATTATGGTCAATGTCAAATATTATGTCATAAACCATAATATTATTACTGTATCTCACAAATAGTACTAATCTCCCAATGTCTCTCCTTCTGTATGGCAGAGAGCAGTTTTACTACAGGGAACATGTATAATACCGCCACCTATTGACGTGGAAGATAAAAGTTTATAGATCGGAATGATGGCTGATGTCTAGTTATGGGAAATTCTGACTTTTGCATATTAATTGCCAAAAAATATATTAATTTCGATTATTCTGATATAATAAAACATTCCTGGTGTTTTCCAGATTTTTAAACCAACAGTTTATCAGATATAATATTAGTTAAATAATAACTAATAACGAAATCTTAATAACCTTGTCGACCTTTTGCATTTTAATGAAAATGGAGCAAGAATTAACAAGAATGTGCAAACCCGAGTTTAGCCTACAAATACACAATTCTCTTATACAGCATTGAAGACTGCACCTGGCTCAGGATAATTATTATTCTACCTAAATGCAAATAATATTGGTTAACTTCTTATGAAATTTTCACTTGTTTAAGTGTGATGTACTGTATATAAATATATACATCAGTTATTTTAAAACTTGTATGATCATTTTTAACGTTTACAGTATTAGTTTCTTTCTTTCTTTCTTTCTTTCTTATTTATTTTAATAATTGTCGGTCAGTGTGTAGTTTTTTGTGTAGTATATTTTATGAACACAATTTTACATTTACTTAAATTGTAGTATTATGCGGGCATTACACTGTATGTAAGCGTGTTTGGGAGCAAGAATTAACAAGAATGTGCAAACCCGAGTTTAGCCTACAAATACACAATTCTCTTATACAGCATTGAAGACTGCACCTGGCTCAGGATAATTATTATTCTACCTAAATGCAAATAATATTGGTTAACTTCTTATGAAATTTTCACTTGTTTAAGTGTGATGTACTGTATATAAATATATACATCAGTTATTTTAAAACTTGTATGATCATTTTTAACGTTTACAGTATTAGTTTCTTTCTTTCTTTCTTTCTTTCTTTCTTTCTTATTTATTTTAATAATTGTCGGTCAGTGTGTAGTTTTTTGTGTAGTATATTTTATAAACACAATTTTACATTTACTTAAATTGTAGTATTATGCGGGCATTACACTGTATGTAAGCGTGTTTGTAGGTAGGTAGATATCTGGCAGGAATCGGAAATTTCGTTTTTTTATTTTCTATTTTTTTTCTCAAAGTACAGATGAAAAACATCCCGTTGTTTTCAGTGGCAGAGCTTTCCAAGCTTTAGGGATTGCCGCTCCCATCCGAGGCTGCTTTTGAGAGTCTGCAGCACGACGCGTCCGCGTGTTTGCCTACTTCCACCAATCACAGTCCGCGACAGCACGCATGCGCACTGCTGCGCTCTACCGACTCCTGTCGTTCTCGCATCGCAGGTGTCAACTGAGCGAGCGTCTCTGTTGCAGCTGCGAGTGAGCAAACCTCTCTGTCCCAGCGAAAATATATCAGTCCTACGGAGCGGGCGGGCGGGACAGATCGGACGGCCTGAAAATGTCCGAATGAGACCGTGAGCCTGTGTCTGTTGCCAGGGCAGGTTTAAGCGGAGAAGAGGGCGGCTTTCCGGGCTGTAGACAGCGGGCTCGCTGAGCGTCTTCAGCGGGGAGCGCTGCGGTCCTGCCGCCGCCGCTGCTGCTACAATGTTCGTGCAGGAGGAGAAGATCTTTGCAGGCAAAGTCCTGAAGGTCCACATATGTACCATGGAGGGCACTGAGTGGCTGGAGGAAGTCACGGAAGACACCACTATAGAGAAACTCAAGGAGAAATGCTTAAAGCATGTAGGTCTGCCATCGGTTAGCTGGCACTGTTAGCTAACCCGGACAGGACAGGCCCGCTGGATTCTCAGAGTCATTGCCAAGTATTTTTAGTAACTAGCAGACGAGTCGACGGTGCTATTTATAATTTAGCAAGCTGGTCCGTCACCTCCATCTCTGTGGCTGTGCTGTAACTACCACTGCCACACTGGTTGGTTTACAGTGTAGAGCTGACATTAACTTGTTGACAGCCTCTTCAATATATGTCAAGTACTCCGATCTGTGCAGCTCAAGGCACCTTGACACCCATTCACATTTTCTGTGAGGATGTGATTTGCACATTTTATGGCTTTAAGGTTGTGAATGTTTTTGTATTCATTTTAGCAGGTGGCATCGCCACAGACTGTAAGTCAAGCCATGTCCTAGCTACAGTGTGCAATGTGTACCATGGTATTACCCTGTGCATAATGTCACAATTATACCAAGTTTTATGGACATTTATAATGACAATACCATAGTGTTCTTTGAAGTACCTTGGAGTATCATGTAAAAACCAGGATACATTAATTATTCAGTACCAAGGTGTATATCAATATACCATGGTAACAATTGACACCAACTGTACCGTGGTACTACCATAGTACTAGACCTCACTGTAAGTGGGCTGAGCTCATGATTGTGATTTTTATGGGTTAAATGTACAGTACTGTTCAAAAGTTTGGGTCGTAAGATAGCAGCACGTTTGCTTCTATTGAAGTGGAATTCGGTTAAGGTTAGGGACAGGTATGGTGGTATGGTTAGGTTTAAGGGTGGGATGTGGTGTAAGGGTTGGGTTGACAGTGTAACTAATTTCTGTAGTGCATGTATATGCAGGTAGTTTTAAATATACTGTTTAAAACATGTCTGCAATAAGAACATTGTATCTATTGATTATATATTTCAATGTTAGTACATAATAGTTAAAGACACTTAATATAAAGTAGGTCAACTTTATTGGTATTTTTCTTCTCTTACAGTATGTCCATGGAAGTCTAGAGGATCCTAAAACTCTTACACATCACAAACTCATTCATGCTGCCACTGAGAGAATTCTCACAGAATCCAAAACAGTTGCTGAGGAAAATCTTAAAGACAAAGGTATTTAAACTTTTTGGTGCATCTGGTTGTTCTTTGTTGTGGCATTTTCCACAACAATATTCAAAGGCCCCCATGATTTTTCCATTTTTTTGTGATTTTACTGGATAAGGATTAAGGATAATTATTTTAAAAAATCTCACAATTTGTATTGTATTTAGTATTTACTATTTTATATTCAGTACAAAAATTATAGTTTAAGTTATAAGATTTTAGTAATTTATATGACTTTGTCATATATCCATGTTTTTCAAGACAGTGGGAACCCTGATTCTCCCAAAAAAAGAAAGAAATAAAATGTTGAGGGAGTGAATTGATATAAGACATATCTTTATTTTTAATAGTTGTAGCTGATTTTAATGCTTTTTTGTCTTATTTTAAAGTCACCATTAAATTAAACTGGGACAATTTTTTTATTCTTTCAGTGGAACATTACAGTGTTTATTATAAATCATTCATCCATTAAAAAAAATATAAAAAATTGTGTACTCTTGTTATCTTTAATCAAATACATTAATTTTTTTTCTTGTTTGAGAAGCTGTTTCACTTGGATATACATCACAACAGAGAAAAAAGATGATTGCAATTTTCTTTCAGGCTGAATTTATCTTGAGGCCCCTTTGGAAGCTTGCTAAGGCCCCCTGTTGGGTCCCAGCCCCTGGTTAAGAACCACCGATCTAGGATGTAGTCATCATGTTTTGCACATGTTCTTTATATTTAAAATCAGATTCTAAAAGACACTAATCCTGATTCATTATTGTTTGTTTTCTAGACTGCTTATTATTGATAAAGAAAAGACCTCCACCGGCTCCACCAAAAATGGCCGACATATCTTCTGAAGAGAAGGTATCTGTTGACAGTTTTTTTCTTTTGTGGGGGGGTGGTGAATTATTTTTAATAAATAATGTACATTACACTTCTAAGCTTTGATTCTTCAAAATTGATCAGTCTTTGTGCTTGTTGACAGAAGAAGCAAGAGAACAAAGCACCAGATAAGGAGGCCATCCTCAAAGCCACAGCAAACCTGTCCACTCGTAACACTGACCGCACTGTAACTCAACACAATATCAGAGATGTGGGTGCTTGCAGTCAGTTCAGTTAGACCTTTCTGCATTGCAATTGTTTAGAATATAGAATATAGTGTTTTATGATTTTTTTTTGTTTCCATCAGTTTCAAACAGAGCTGAGGAAGATTCTGGTCTCACTTATTGAAGTGGCTCAGAAGCTGCTGGCTCTGAATCCAGATGCTGTTGAGCTCTTCAAAAAGGCCAATGGTAAGCTATGGATGTATGAATAGAACCCTGAATGGATTAAATCTATTTAAGCCTTGGCGAAACAATTAATTACCATGCTTTTCAGACATCTGCCATGGTAATGCTATGTTTATTTGAAGTACCATAGAGTTACATTGCTGTACCATAGTACTGCCAAAGTACTTTTTTTGCGAGAGGTCGTCTTAACCTCATTTTTTTTCAACTCTGATGAACGCTCAGAACCGTTCTCATGGGACATGCCTGACTAGTCAGTGTGCAGGTGTAAATATCATTTTGCTCTCTTAGAAAATGTTGGTGAGTGATTATTCTTTGTATCTCTCCTCTCTGGCAGCCATGCTGGATGAGGATGAGGAGGACCGTGTGGATGAAACGGCCCTGCAGCAGCTGACTGAGATGGGTTTCCCTGAGAGTCGTGCTGTGAAGGCTCTGCGCTTAAACCAGTGAGTACTCTTTATTCTTGGGTGATAAATATGCCTGTGAATAGTGCATTTCCTGTATTTCAGAATAAAGTCTAAGAGAGCACTGTCATTTTGGTCAGTGAAGCATAAACAATAATAACTTGCTGTAAATTATATTATGATTATATATATATAATCATTATATGATTATATGATGTAATGTTTCTGAATAAGAATGATCAAATGAGCAAACATAACATTACCAGTGTGTGCCAACTCTCAGTGGATTAAATAACTAATCACTCTTCCTGCAGCATGTCTGTGACCCAGGCTATGGAATGGCTGTTTGAGCATGTGGATGACCCCATGGTTGACACTCCTCTGCCTGGACAGGACACCCCAGGGGCGGCGGCCGCTGCAGCTGCAGCCCCTGCCCCAGCTCCCTCTGCCACAGCTTCAGGAGCCCGGGCACGTCTGTCCTCCCAGGCCAGCCTAGAGGAGGCCAGACAAGATGAACTGACAGAGATCTTCAAACGGATCAGGAGGAAAAGAGAGTTCAGGCCTGACTCACGGGTTAGTGTCATGTGGGTGTCATGAGAAGAATAGCTCACTTTTAAACTCAAACGTGATGAAATATTCTGAACCACTGACATACTATGATAATAGCCTCAGTTGTTTAACCAATGCAAGATTAAAGTGTTAGATGGAATAAATGCTTTTCTTTCTTTTTTTTTTTTCTTTTTTTACCCAAACTACATTGCACATTACAATTAGTTTGGTTAATATACCATAGAAATGACCATCAGCATAATGCAATAAAACATTATTTTACAACATCTGAGAGTAGCTGTCATTGTTAAAAATGTGAATTTTTAGATTGTATTCATGCTTGTCATGATACTGAACCATGGTTTTAATTCATGCGATGCAAACACATTTTCAAGTTTTATTTTAATTAGGTTTCACATATGAAACTTTTTTGTTTGTTTTCTTTTATGTGCTTTTAGCATTATTAATTTTTTTTTTTAAATATTTATTGTTCTTTTTACATTTTTATTTCAGTATTTTTATTTTAGCTTTAGTAATTTTAATACTAAATACAACTTCAACTTTATTTCAGTTAGTCACCAAAGCAGCGCTTCTAATTTTTAGTTAGAAAATTAATTTCTAATTTTCTCATGTTCAATTTACAAAAACAATTTTTAAACATTTGAGCTAACAATAGAAACACTTACAGCAAAAAGTTAAAAACCATTAAAACACTTTAGCAACCACATAGCAATGTCCTGGCCACCACCCACAACACACTAACATCATGGAAGTTTTCCACAGTCAGATGCCACTATAGAATTCACTTTTGGTTGGTTGCAAATCCTGCAGTAATTCACATTAAATAGCTACTTCTGTCTTGCTGTGGAATCTTTTTAAATGAGATGCATCATCTTGTCTGTGTGTTTGTGTGCAGGCAGTCATTGCGCTAATGGAGATGGGCTTCGATGAGAAGGAGGTGATTGATGCCCTTCGCGTCAATAATAATCAACAGGATGCAGCTGTATGTAAACATTCAGAGGATCATCAAATCATGAGTTATTTCAACAGTCAGCTAAGACTAAATGAGCTCAGTCATATTCAGTGAAATGTGTGGTTAAGTCTTTGTTTTGTTTAGTTAAACAACATTTATCAAGGTCACATTTTTATTCCATATCCTTGTTTTGTAACTTCTGTTCCCACACAGTGTGAATGGCTGCTTGGTGACAGAAAGCCCACCCCTGAGGATCTGGACAAGGGCATTGATACCAACAGTCCCCTGTTTCAGGCCATCCTGGAGAACCCCGTTGTACAGCTTGGTCTCACAAACCCCAAGACTCTTCTAGGTGAGTTTTTTTTCTCCCTGTATACTCAAAGGTTCTTCAATGCATTTGCTCCAGCTTTGTCAAATCAATTGTATTTTTCAACTTTTCTGTAGAAGACTGATCAAAACATGTTATTTCAAGGTTTTCAAGTGTTTATTTGATTCTGTCCATTTGGCCTAATATAGCGAGTTTTCCAGTTCCTCCAGCTAAACAGTAACCCAGACCAGTGATGCTGCCACCACCGTGCTTGATGGCAGGATGAGGTTATCTGGGTGTTGGGCTCTGTGTGGTTTGTGGTAAACACAGCACTTTGCTTTTAGGCCAGAGTGCTCAATTTTCATTTCATCAGACCACAGCAGTTACTTACAAAGCCTTTCAGGTTTTGCCACATGGCTTTTCACAATATCCAGAATTATCTTGGACTTGCTTGGAAGTGGCTTCCTTTCTAGCCACGGTTGCAAAAAGAGCTTAATCTTGGAAGTGCTGAAAATATTGCTGAGGTCTGGACAGTTTGTTCCATTTGAACCAAGCGGCAACCTCCCCCTCTCTCTCTGGCGATGCCAACAAGGAAGTGACTTAAACTGTAATTCATCAACTGGCCGCTAGAGGCTGGCTGCAAAAGGGAGTCAATCCCATAGACTCCCCATGTTAAAATGCCCAACTTTACAGCAGAAAAAAACATGTTTACAGCCTGGTTCAAAAAAAGAGTTTGGTTTATATAGCTAATTTTGCCCTTCATGACAACTGTGAGGGGGGTGAATTTTTTTATAAGTCATCCGTTTAAATTATATTAAGCCTTAAAGTTCTGCATAATTAAGGGCGTGGCCACTTGAGTGACAGGTGGATTGCCGCTGCTGTCACCACGGTCGAGCTAGGTGGGTGTGGTTTCAGCAACAAGCTCCCGCCTTTTTGCCCATTTTCGATTATCCGGGAGTGAAGCGCGGTGATGCGCTGCCAAGATGGCGACGGCCGGCTCCACCTACTTTAGGCTTCAAAAACCTCTTCAGCAACCTACGGGTGACGTCACGGACACTACGTCCATGTTTTTATACAGTCTGTAGCTGTGTCTCATTTAGAAGGCTGCACCCTCCGGAGGTCGCATTCGAAGGCTGCATACGTCATCGAGGCTGTCTCATTTCACAAAAGCAAGTAGGACACTCCGAATGCGACCTTCGTATGCAACTTTCTTTCACAGGAATTCGGAGGATGCATGAGGTGTATCCTTCGCTGCTACAGATAACCCACAATTCTTTGCGTCGCCGTAAACAACCGTTGTTAATTTGAAAAATGCCGGCGCCAGCAGATGCACACACAGACGTCATGAGCAGCGCAGATGTGGTGTTTACAACTTACCTTAAATCGCCTCGGTAAAAACGGATAAACTTTGTTTTTAATATCCTCCTCCTTTTTTTCTCTAACAGATGTCTGCTGTATGTACGCTGCAGCTCCTCAAACATTGAACAAAATAAAACAAATTTTTTTTTTCAAATTACTTTCCAAATTTAGAAATCATTTACCTTCATTTAAGTAGTGTGAGAGCGCAACGATGCTCTAAATGTGTTGGCATAGCAACGTGATACTTCCTGTTTCCTTTGCCGCCTGTCCTACGAAGGTCGTCTCGTTTAATTCTAGGTTGAGGACACTTCGTATATGCATCCTACAGAGGATGCGACCTCCAGAGGATTCGACCTCTGGAGGGCGCAGCCTTCTAAATGAGACACAGCTTGTGATTTGAACCAAAGCGCTCTGTGAGTGACCACTTTGGTCCCTTATTCAAATTTGATCTGGTTGCCCGTTTGCTGAGCTGACTTGAACTTAAAAGTGTCTACACTGTGTAATATTTTGCCAATTGATAATTTTGTATTTTAATATATTTTCATAATTTTTAACCTCCATTGTCACACACAACTGGTGGGATGTTTTAAATGTTTATTTTATTTCTTTACACTAGTGGCCAAAAGTTTTATTGTTTTTGAAAGAAGTTTGTTTTGCTCATTTAAGCTGCATTTATTTGATAAGAAGAGTAAAATCAGTAATGTTGTGAAATATTATTACAATTGAAAATAACCATTTTCTATTTTAATATATTTTATTTAGGTGACGTTTTTTCAGGATTCTTTGATGAATAGGAAGTTCAAAAGAACAACATTTATTAGAATTTTTTGTATCATTATAAATGTCTTTACTGTAACATTTGATCAATTGTCTTTACTGTCAGATTTGATCAATGTAATGTGTCCTTGCTAAATAAAAGTTTATTTTTAGTTATTTATTTTTAAATCGTACTTAGCTCAAACATTTAAATAATAATTTATCATGGATTCCACAAAAAATATTAAGCAATAAAGACCAGATTAAAATTAAAAACCAGTTATTTTAAAATGTAACAACATTTCACAATATTACTGTTTTTAGTATATTTATGATTAAATAAATGTAAACTTGGTGAGCATAAGAGACATCTTTCAAAACAATTAAAAATGTAAATTATTCCAAGCATGTAATTACCGTATTGTCAGTATGTGTTCCCTGGAAATCAAACTAATGATGACCTTGTCATTGATAACACTTTGTGCCACAAGATGATCTACAGGACTATTTGTTAACATATTTAATGTGATTTTTTAAAAGTTATTAATACGTTTGTTTGGAGTCCAAGACCACTGTTGAATTATTCAGTGAAACAGACTAAACTGTATTTTCAAGTAGACGCAGTCCAGTCCGTGTCAGTTGTTGGCTGGATTTATTTTTTTATTTTTTTTATTTAGTCATTTAGCAGACGCTTTTATCCAAAGCGACTTACAAATGAGGACAATAAAAGCAGTCAAAACTAACAAAAGAGCAACAAGACAAGTCTCGGTTAGCCTAACGCAGTACACGTAGCAAGGTGTATATATATATATATACACATACACATACATATA